GAGAAAGCCTGTGAACAGCCAGGTGGAGGTGGTATACAACTTTAATCCCAGCACTTGGGAGGCAGATGCAGGTGGATTTCTGTGAGTTCAAGGCCAACCTGGTCTATAAATCGAGTTCCAGGACAGCCAGAGCTGTTATATAGAGAAACCCTGTATCGAGAAACAAAAACAAAACAAAAAACAAACAAACAAAAAAAAAATCACTAAGTGTAAACAAACATACAATATATAACTGAAAAAAATTTCCCTTAAGTCCACAGAGGTGTTGATATATTGTTCTTTTTTTTTTTTAATTATAAAACAATATTCTACTCACCAAGCTTTGTGAGTCTTTTTCAGTGTCTGAAGAGACTGGCCTTCCATTGACTAAAAATCTCTTAATCACTTCATCTATCTCATCTAGGGGGACATAGCTTATTAACAAAAATCAAAGCAAACAAGGCCAGTTATGTGCTGCATAGCAATGTCTTAATCAATAATCCCCCCCCAATATATGGTAGTGCTGAGGATCCATCCCATAACCTGACACACATTAGGGAAATTCTCTACCATTCAGATACATCCCCAGCAGTTTAAGGGAGAACAAAAAGGCTTTGGGAGCAGGGATAATTTTTGCCTAAGGACATCCTTCTAGGATATGGAGAAACACTTTGGTGAAGGTACCATCTGTTTTTTTCAAAGAGCTCAGTGACATAGTTCCTATATCTGAAGGCTAGGGGTGATGACAGAATTTGCCACTGTGCCCTTTGAATTCAAGCCACACTAATAGATACCAGGAAACTGTGAACACAGTACTAATGTGGCAACCAGAATGTTTTAACACCCAGAATTATTTGGTTGTGGCTATTAATCACAGTGAAATGATTAGATATACACCTTACACAAGTGCATTTTGATCTATGGAATCATAAAAGCTCTAGCTCTGGTGACCACAGATCTGACTTCAATCACCTTGGGAGGTATCGTGGCCTTCAGCTAGTGTCTAGACATACCTGTAGCACAGCCCCCAAGACACGGACCATGTGACATAGTTGAAAATCTATCCTGTGATTCTCTTTCTTTTTCTTTCAGAAAGAAATCAGAAGCCCCCTCTGCCCCCAACCAAGGGCATGCAGGAAAGGAGACTTCCCTCTGAGGAAGATCACATACAACAAACATGCGGATGCCTGTGGGTCAGAGGTAGCTTAGGAAGTCGTGATTAACCCAGTTTGGGCTCCAGCATGTAACACAGTAATTCTAGGTAACCAGTTGTAGGTGCTTCTTTACTTCCTCCGAGTTCCTGCTCGTTTTCTTTCAAGTCTGGGTGTTTTAGTTATTGTTCTAATGCTGTGATAAAAGGAGCATTCAATTGTGGGCTTGCTTACAGTTTCCCAGGGCTATCACATGATCATCGTGGCAAGCAGTGTGGCAGTAGGCAAGCAGAATGGCACTGGAGCAGTAGTTGAGGATTGGTGTCTGACCCTCCAGTTGAAGGACCGACTGGGCCCGGCATGGGCTTTTGAAACACATTGCCTCCACCAAAGTCATACCCCCTAGTACTTCTCAAACAATTCCACTGACTGAGTACCGTGCCTGTGGGGAGCATTCTCATTCAGGGCCACAGCCTGCAAGCCATTCCAACAAATCCCATGCATGCATTGATTCATTCTATCAGTTCTAACCAATAATACAGTCACCAAGCAGTGTGCGTGTGGGGGGGGGTGCAGCAGGGTGCTGGGAGTTCAGGAATCTCAAAGGCTGCTTCTACACTCTTGGGAGACGATGTCCCTGGGAAGAATGTTGAAACTGAACATGTGCGAAGTCACTTTCGTTAAACGGAACTTTACGTTTGGTAGAATGGTCCCAAGGCTGCTGAACCCCTGAAATAGCAGGGAAGGAAACACCGTCCAGTCTTCCTCTGATCCTGTTCCGGCTGTGCTGGTTTCAATGATGCCCTCGGTCTCGGGCATCTGAACACTTGGGCCTCAGGTGGTGGTGCTGTCTGGGGAGGCTTAGCACGTGTGGCCTTGTTGGAGGGGTGTCACTGGAGGTGGGCTTTGCAAATTTAACGGTTCGTGTCATTTTAAATTTGGTCTCACGTCTTCCTGCCTATAGTTTGAGATGTGAGCCCTTGGCTCTCAGTGTTGAGTTCTAGCTGTCATGTTGTCCTTCTGTAAGTTACCTTGGTCATGGTGCTTTATTACAGCAATAGAAAGGATATTCTGGATATCTACCCAGGCAAGCCAGTTCTAGCGGCTCTAGGATCACGTGCGTCCTGTAGTTACAAACAAGCTCTGTCTCTGGTAGGGGTAGTGACAGTGGAAGGTGGTGTTGGGCTCCTTGTCTCAGTGATAGTGTGATTGAGGGACTCTGGCTGGTTGTAAAACACAGCCATAGTTCCAACAACAGCAGAAGCTACCTAATTAGCCTCAATGGCACAGTCATATGGCTCCCATCCTGTAACAGTTCTCTAATAATGAAACGGAGACTTTTAAAAATGAATTGTGAAAGCCTGGCCTTAGCTTAGGCTTCTTCCTAGCTCTAAAAACTTAAACGGACTCATTTCCATCAATCCAGGCTCTGTTATGTGACTTTAACCTCTCCTCCGCACCCTATGTCTGACTTCCTTCACTTCTGGCTGGGGGAATCTCCCCGGCCTCCAATTCTTTCCCAGATTCCCCATCTCTTCCTGGAAGTCCTGCCTATCCTCTTCTGCCTAACTATTGGCCGTTCAGCTCTTTACTAAGCCAATCAGAAGGTGCCTTAGGCAGGTAAGGAAAGACAGACACATTTTCACAATACAGAAAGACTCTCCCAACTCTGCCCCATGCCATCTTTGGCTTCTCTAGCACTTTCTAGCACATTGGTGTCCTTTCACTTCTGCAGCTCCCCCAACGCTTTCTGAAGTCAGTTTGCTATATTAAATTTCTGCAGTTAAGAGTGATTTATATTTCCAAAAGTGAATACTAAGTGATAACCCCCACATGGCCCTCATCAGTGTCCTGAGCTCTAGACGATGGACTGTGACTTGTGATATTGGAGTAAGGGTCCTAGGAGTTCTGATCCTCTGTCTTCTCCCTCCCTCTGTTAGCTGTGTTAGGGGACAGAGGAGCAACAGCATGAAGCCCCGTGTCACCATGTGGAAGACACCACTCCCCTGCTTCACTCTCCAGAGTGTTTGCACTAAGGCATGTGCGATGGATCGATCGCACCCTACAGGGTTTATTTATCTCACCTGTGGACAGAAGAGAAGACATCTCTTCAGTTTTGAATGGCACCAAATATTTTCTAAAAAACGGGAGGTAAACTTATGTGTAAAACGTTATATATATGACAAACCCGTATGATACAGTAGTTTCCAAGATGATTCATATCGATTTTGGAAAATACCAATGTAAACATCTAAGGATGCAGGATGATTTAGGTTGAAAGAAGAGAGCATGACAATTTCTAAAGATGTTAAATAAAATCTTTTTATAATGTCTATTTTATAAGGTAATAGGCACATTGTGAATATATAACTTTTTTTTTTTTTAGGGAGTTTGAGGCCAGCCTGGGCCTCATGAGATGCTGTCTTAAACAGCCACTGTTCCCCAAAGAGAGGTTCCCTCTTAAATGCCTTCCCAGTTTAACAAAATACAGCTATCCATTTAAGGTAAAATTCTTGGTTGTATCTGCTTGTTTTTTTGAGACATTCTCATTGTGTAGCCTTAGGCTGGCCAAAGGTTTACCATCTGTTGCCACAGTTTCCTAAATGCCGAGTTCCAGATGTGGGCAATGATGCTAGGTTTGGGAAATAAAACCCTGTTAACATTTTCTGTGGTCTCCTGGGTGTGGTGGTGCAATCTGAGTGCAGGCTGCGAGTCTCCAGGCTGAGGCCAGATTGAACTACATAGAGAAGTCTATCCCAAACGAAACCCTGGGAGAGGGCACTCAAAGTGCAGAGAGAGGCTGGGAGTGTAACTAACTCAGTGGTAGAACACGTGCGTGCTTAGCATGACAAGCAGTTTACGGTCAATCCCTAAGGTCCCCTTCCAAAAACCAATGTAAACATATATCACAGTAAATGGAATCATAGTTATTGCCGCTTATTACCCTGACTCTGCAGGAAGGCAAGGCACAATTTTCAAAAGGCTTAAAACACACCAGCAGTCACCCTCTCTGGTTTAAGACGTTTGCAATTTCTACAGGGATTACAAGTCACTTCTACTCCGTGCGTCGCGTGCCCTTCTCTTGCTCCGGTTGAAAAGAAGCCCCAGAAGATAGTACGCTTGAGAACAGCAACGGGGGCCGCACCCGAGCAGCAGCCAGGCTCGGCCCGCCTCGCACTTCCCTCCGCCGCACTCCAGGCCTTTTGCTCACAGCCAATGGCAAGCGGGGCCGTGGGGCTCCCTGGTCCCGCTGGCGCGCATGCGCACGCCCTCTGCGTCCCGGGGACGCTTAGCCATCCGTTTCCTTCCCTTTCTTCCCTGGCTCGCGCGACACCCCCAAACCCTTCCCACCCGGTCCTCGCCGAGGAGCACCTCGCAGTTCCTCGCGAGGTGCCGCTCGGGCCCGGGACGCGGCGGTACCCGGATGTGGAGCCGCTCTCGCCCGGCGGGGACTCGGTGGCGGGGCGGAGCGCGGCGGCGTGCGCGGGGGCTGAGGGAAGCGGGGCCCGGGGCCCGGGCGCCGGCCGCTCGCCGGCCGCTAGCGCCGCCGACCACCGCGGAGCCGGCTCCCGGGCGCCCAGGCACGAGCGAGCGGCCGGGGGCCGCTGAGGGCCGGCAGCTCGCCTGGCCTCCCGCCGCGCTCGCCGCCGCGCCCGGGCGAGCCTCCCCCGGCCCTCCGCGCTCCCGGCCGGGGGAGAGCGAGGTTTGCTGGCGGCCGTCGCTGTAGCCCGGCCGGGGAGCCCGGGGCAAGCGGCAGAGCCCCCGCCCACGTCCGCTCGCCCTCGGCCTGCACGCCGCCGCCTGCGAGCCGCCGCGGGCGGGCCTCCAGTGGGAGCGGGGGCCGCGGCGGCCACGGCCCCGCCCGGGCGAAGGGCTCCTCGGGGACCGCGCCGCCGCCCCGGTGAGTCGGCCCCACGGCCCGCGGGGCTCGCTGCCGCCCCCGCCGGCGCCCAGAGTGCGGCCCGGGCCCGGCTCCCTCACGGCTCCCCCGCCGGCGGCGGCGCCCACCGCCCGGGCCCCGATGAGTAACTCCCGCAACAACCGGGTGATGGTGGAGGGGGTCGGCGCCCGCGTCGTGCGCGGCCCAGACTGGAAGTGGGGCAAGCAGGACGGCGGCGAGGGCCATGTGGGCACCGTGCGGAGCTTCGAGAGCCCGGAGGAGGTCGTGGTGGTGTGGGACAACGGCACGGCCGCCAACTACCGCTGCTCCGGGGCCTACGACCTGCGCATCCTAGACAGCGCGCCCACCGGTAAGCGGGGCCGGCGGGCCCGGGGCTACGCGCGTGGGAGGAAGGGGCGAGGCCAGCCGCGGGACGCCTGCCCCGCCGGGCTGGGTCACCGGGAGTTTGAGCTTTCAAACCCCCATAAACAAAAACTTGCAGAACAGGACCTCCCTCCTCCCCCCCCCCCCCAGTCTCCAAGGCATTGATGGAAGGTCCATTACCAGGGCCTTCCTAGATGAAAGGCATCGCAGACAACAGATTTCCTCCTCCTCTTGGGGCAGGGGCCCGGGGAGGCTGTCTGATAAGCATTGACATTAATCAGCCACCAAGTGATAACTGTGATGGAGGCTTGCCTTGCCATATGGTGTGCAGTTGCCAGGGGCCCGTCCCTTGGTGCCTTCGCTTTGTTGAGCTAGCTTTTTTTCCCTTCCCGCTGGTGACACAGAATGACTTACGAGTTCAGTTGATAAATACCACTTGGGACTGTGAAAATGCATTTTCATCCAAATTGCTTAGTTGTATATGTTTGCAATAATATAGAGGAGGAAACACTGCGCTGTTGAGTTCCCGGTGTGTGTGTGTGTGTGTGTGTGTGTGTGTGTGTGTGTGTGTGTGTGTCTTTTTCTAAGGGGAAGACAGACATAGGAAACGCCGTGTTTTGTCTGTCTTTGATTAGTATCCTGTCTTGGTAACACAATGAAAATTCTGTACATTCATCCTGAGATTTAGTGATCTTTAGGATTTATTCCATTATAGGGGTCTGAGTTATTTGCACTATAATTTTTTATGTGACAGAGTTGCTCTCACAAAGTAAATACACTTTAGTCTATTTTCATTTAGAGCTATTCTTTTTTTCCTTTCTTTCTATTTTGAGACAGCATTTCATCGTCTAGTCCAGGTTGTCCTGGAGCTAGCTCTGGAGACCAGGGTGGCCTCAAACTCTCAGAGATCTGGCCTGGCTCTGCCTCTCTAAAGGCGAGCACCACCACCGCCTGCCATGGATATGTTCTTGATAACTGTATTCATATATATAAAGTTCAAATTGAAATTTTATTATGCTTCAGGATTCCTAAATAGATGATACTAAAACAGTGAGTTTGGCAGAGCCTAATCATGAAATGGATGAATAATTCCATGAGCCAACTCAGTTTTGAACAAATAATTTATACACTTTTGTTAAACTTTTAAAGAGACTGTTTTAAAGTGGACTGCATGACGCAGTCCACTGTCTTGGATTTAATGTATTGGTGAGGCTGGCTCTGCACTCCTGATCCTCCTGCCTCAGTCTCCCCCAAGTGTTGGGATTGCAGGCATGTGTCACCATACCTAGATGAAAATTGTGCTTTCTTTTAGCTAGCTTTTGTGCACTGAAATGGATGTTTGTACATAACTTAAAAGGGCAGCCATTGTACCTGTTTGTCATATGTTTTGTTGTTGCAAGCACAGATGAATATACTGAAAATACAAATGTCTTCCTTCCCTTAAATACAAACACAAACTATATTTAGTTTCTGCACTTTGCCTGTGTGTGCACAGGGGTGGATATACATCTGGGAGTGCAAGTGTGTGGAGGTCAGATGTCAATGTCTGGGGTCTTCCTCAGTCAGTTCTTTGCTTTTTGACACAGGGTTGCTCACTGAACCTGGAGCTCCCTGATTGGTCAGTCAGGCTGGGCTGCGAACCCTGGGGGTCTTCTTGTTACTGTCTTCCCAGCACTGGGAGTCTTGGCTGGCATTTTTCTTTTTTTTTAGCACAGGTACTGAGGATCCCATCTGGATTTGAGCCATCTACCCAGCTCTTCATTTCATAATTTGTGTTGGTGATTGTTTCGGGTTTGTACTCTGTAGGTTTACTTTATTCTTTCATGAGTGAATAGGATTCCAGTGAGTGGGTGTAGAAATGTCCTTTCCCAGGAGTTTATGGATAGGTATTTATATTTTAGGTCTTCTTACAATGAAGCCATGGATGAATTCTACAAATCCTTGTGTGCGATGATTGTCCTCAAACATATTTGAAGTTTACATTCCCAGCAGTTGTATCCGATGTACATGCTGGTTTATGCACAATTTAAAGTTTTGTTTTTGTGCTAGCTCAGTCTGAAGTCTGATCAAAGTATAATAGTTTGGAGCAATTCTTGAGATTAGTGATTGTAGGTTTATGGAGAAATTTAAATATCTTTCTAGGGTAGAGGTATTTTTTTCTCAAACATTTATTATTATTATTATTATTTTTGTGGTGAAAAACTTTAAAGTCCCATTTTCCACAGCACATTGTCCTTAATGACAATCACCACCCTGTGCAGCAGAGCACCAGAACTTAGTTTTCTATCTTCTGTCATGATTGTACAAGGTCTGTTAATACTGGCCCATGTTCTGTAGTATGGAGCCTGCCTGGTGTATTGAAAGCTTAGTATGAAAGCATGTGCTCTTAAGGGTGACTGTCAGCCTTTGTTTGCTTCAGGATAGTCTAACCTGCTCACTGATGGAATCAGTTCATCTTGTTCATCTGGTTCCTTTTGAAGATCCTGTGTTGGTGCTAGAGATTGAACCCAAGGCCCATGCTGGGTGACTGCTGCATTTTAGCTTAGCAAACATTTGGAAGCTCTTTTACATGCAGATTAGGTAGTCTTCCTAAGGAATGCCCCTTGGAATGTATTTTAGTTACTGTGGTTTAATTTCTATCCATTTAAGTATTTTTAAAGTATTGATGTCCAGTGACATTTTATTACACTCTGTAAGAATTATCCAGTACTTGATATTTACGTCATCTTTCACTTTGAAGTAATTTTAGGCCTACAAAAATATTGTATACTAGTAAGATTCTTGCTTTCACTCATCTTTCTCATTTAATGGTCTCCTTTAACTGTGGGCCATGTTCTCATTCTTTGTCTTTAAGAGGTACCAGCCATTAAAAATGTAGGCTGTCCCTCAAACTGTTTTCCTCATAGTCAGATGCTAGCTAAGTATTTTGGTATTTAGAAATTTTGGTAGATAGAAATGGTATTTAGCCCTTTGCAGTATTAGGAGATGTATAATATCCATCAGTCTCATTACTGTTAACTTAGTAGATCTTCACCGTCTACAACATTTTTGTTATTGGTTTCTTGTCTTTGTTTTTCAAGACAGGGTTTCTCTGTGTAGCCCTGGCTGTCCTAGAACTTGCTTTGTAGACCAGGCTGGCCTCAAATTCAGTGATCTGCCTGCCTCTGCCTCTGAGTTCTTGGATTAAAGATGTGTGCCACCACTGCCTGCCTGGCTCCTAGTACTTATGTATTAATGGTACAATAAAAATATGAAAGATTGAATTATCATGCCTGCACCTTTGGCCATATGAAGCCTGCAAAAGTGTCTTCCTTAGGGTTGTTGAAGAACCCAAATGAGAATTTCTGCCCTAATGGCAGTGAACAGAGTTTTGTATAAAAATGTTCACAGCAGTGCTGGTTGCATGTAAAAGCAAAACAAAACAAGACAAAAACAAAAACCAAAAAATTTAAAAAAGATATAAATAAGAGAATGATTAATAATAGTCTTAGTAACAAATGAGAGAACTGTGCATATTAGAACAGTGGGTTAGTAGTAGTGTAGGAGAGGTGGTAAACGAATAAAGCTGCAAAATAAATCTGGAGTGTTGGAGATGAGGTTGTACATTGGTGAGGGAGCATTTATTAGCAGGTACAAGGCCCTGGGTTTGATCATCAGGAAAGGGAAAAAATCCCTTTGATATGTCAAAATGCAAAATACTACTGTGGATTACTTAGATAAAAAGATTACATTTGTGTGTGCATGTGTGCGCTTGCATGGCTGTGTTTGTGTATGTGCTCCTTCCACTGTGTGGGTTCTGGGAACTGAACCTGGAGACTAAATTGCTTTGAGACAGACATTTTTAGTGTCATCTTCCCAGCTCTGTTGCAGTGTTATTAATGTCCAGGCTAGTCAAACCTTAAGAAGAGGAATGTTTGAGGAATTTGTATTATATAACTTGGGTCTTAGATCATTTGGTTTATTTGTAGTCCCCAAGAAAATTGTGGAAATACATGGGTTATTAATTGGGAGTTGTGAAGTTTATGATCAGGTAGGTATAGTTGACGTTATCATGTAAGTACTGGTTTCAGAGAATTTTGAAGAAGCATATTTTTACTTAAGATTTGTCTTGTTATCATTTGAGGCAGTACTATATTATTACCAAGTGCCATGGAGAACATGAATTAGGGTTCCTGAGCTTCCCTCTGCTATTCTTTCCCCCTTAAAAAAAAAAAAGTAAATACTCTGAATATTTGAAGATCCACAAATTGTTTTATATTATTGCTTTATCACTGTCACTCTTAAACCTGAATGAAAATTATAGATTCAAAATCCTTTCCTCTCAAAACTGATTTCCATTCTAACAGTTAGTGATGAAGATGATTAGTACTAATGTAAGCCAGTACATATTGTGATTCTTGATGAACCTGATGAAAACTGCTACACCTTTTTGGCTTTCCTGTGTGTTTATGCACACATATATAAGAGGTAGTTTATTATATAGAATAATTATTTACTATGAGGCATCAAATCCTCCTTAAGATGACTAGCCTTTACCATTAGGATAGTACTGGGGTCCTTAATCTTTCATATTTTCTGTGTTTTAGACACATTCGTTCAAAATTTCAGTTACACCAGAAGATGGAAGACCTCATCAGTGCTTATGGACTGGCAGAGTTAATATGGAAACAGTTGTATTACCCCAAACAATCCAAAGATTGGATGCATTCCCATCAAAATTCCAAAAGCATTCTTCACAGGGGGAAAAAAAATCCGAGCATTCATATGGAAGCATGAAGAGCCTTCTATAGCCAAAACAATCCTAAACAGAAAATGTAGTGCTAGAGGCTATCACAGTGCCCAGTTTCAAATATAACAGAGCATAGCAGCAAAATTAGCATGGTACTAGCCCAGAAACATACACAGAGGTCAGTGGAATAGAACAGAGAAGCAAACCCAATGGCTATAGCCATATAGGTGTCAGAAACATAGATTGGAGGGAAGACA